CTCATCATATCTTTGTCGAGGTTCCACTGTACATAAAACTAGGTGACAGTGTGTCAAACATGGGACACAAAAACTCTGGCCCAAGAAGAAGTTCTGCTGTTTCTACTACTCTACCTCTGCACGTCTGTTAGCAGAGGCTAACAGACGTGCAAACTTGACTGCATGGATCGAATGAGTGTTGAAGGATAAATTATATACAATAAATAAATAGTTTTCAGACCATTTAAGTGACATGATAATTTAATGTTTTTTTTATTGACTCGTGCATTGTAGCATTTCCCCTTGTCTGTCGTTCACTTCACTCTGCATCGGCATCATGCAACTCCACTGTGCATATAACTGTGTGGGGAAGGGTAATACAGTCTAGAGAGGGTTGAGGTGTAGGTGAGGGTTATAAAGGATCAAATATATACGTAAATAATAGTATGTCTATCTTGCCTCTATATATATGTTTATATAATTATATATATGTTTAAATATATATGTTTATATATATGTTTATATATATATATATATCTCTTAATGCTGTGCATTTTAACCAGTTATTATCTTATCACATTACCTCATTAATTTGTTCACCCGGACTTTGTTAGCAGACAATTATTTGATCATAAGACTCAGCTGACGCCAGTGTAAACACCAGCATTAGCCTTTGTTTGGTTTGCAAACATGTACTAATGGCCCTAATGCTGTTAATCGTTTCTCTGACTGACATGAAGCATAACTCACCAAACACCAGCCATCAAGATTATCATGGTTCTTTTTGGTGCTAATACAATTCTAACCATGTCGTGCCTTTACTCACCCACACGAGCAACAACATTGTTTACCCAGCATTTTAACAATGTTTACAAATTGGTTTGATGATCAAACACATTATCTCAAATCAAACGGCACATTTGTGCATGAGGATTCAGACGAGGCCACACCTTTAAACATCAAACTTAGTTTGTCCTTGCCAACAGTTTGACAGAATACACCTTGGCAACAGGCCGCTGTTATTATGCCATACATTTTAACAACATTTCCGCCAAAAAAAAAAAAATGCTACCAACTGTGACTAACTTTAAGACACCAGAGGAAACGTTTCTTCATCGTATCTTTGTCGATTGTAACCATTTCAAAGTCAGAGCAAAATTTAAATTTTCCTGATGAGTAAAAAAAAAAACTTGGATAAGGAGAAGAATCAAGCTGTGACCTTGGAACATAAAAGAAGGAATTCTGTGTTTTGTATTTTTTTTTTATTCATTTATTAAACAACCTAAAGAATTAAACCTGTTATTTTCATTCTATGAAGCAGACAAATAAAAAAAAACGGACCTTTCTGTTGGATGGACAAGTGCTTTTCTGCCATCGAAAGTCCATTTCCAATGTAAATGCGATGTATTTTTGGGCCGCGAGGGTTTAAATAATAACGTTTATATACTGGACTCTATACGTGATGACGTATGAGGACGAGTCACGCCGTTACGTCTGGTGTCATTTCTTCCAACTCAGCCGCCGCTGTGTGGCCGGCCCAGCAACTTCCGGCTCCTCCGTGAATCCGTTATTCGCGGATGATTCTCATTCTCCAGTAAAGCCAACATCCCGCTGCCTGTGGCCGGTGGACGGAGCCGCGGTCCCCATGGCGGAATAAAGGTTCGGTCCCGGAGGTCGCTGCTGTAGCAGGTGGGTGTTTGGGGGAAGTTTGTGTTGTTTGTTACTCTGCGGGTTTTAAAAATAGAATCGATGAGTATTCATTCTGTACTTACAGTCCCACAGACGGTCTGAGTACACGCCCTGTAGTACCAGGTACTCATGTTGACTGAGTCTCTACTTGGGACTAACGGCTTAAATAGTACTGACACAACAGTACCTCCACCCAGCTGCATGGGCGGCTCCACCTTAAGGACAGCTCACGGTTGTCCCCGTGTCCCCATGGTGTCTCCGTGTGGGGGGGAAGGCGGGCTCCATTATGGCCAGTACTGAACGGTCCAGACCTACGGATATTGATTAAAGTTTTTATTCTTGAAAAAAAAAAAAAAAAAAAAGCAGTTTCGAGTACTAATTAAACCATTTCAATTAAAAATTAACTGCATAGATTTTGCGGGAATAAATGCATTTAAAAAATATCGTTTTGTACATTTTTATTTAAAACGTGCGTTAAAAAAGTGCAAATACTGAAGTACTCCAGTGAAAAAAGTGTTCCCCGTGTTTGGTACTTTTTACTTTATGTGAGCGCTGCAGCAGTCTTAGCCCCGCCCCCAAAATGATTTCATTGGTTGAGACACTCTGAGGCCGGTCCTGAACCCGTACTGATCTTCATCTTCCCGTTGACTGATGATGCTCGACCTGCTGTGGTACTTCTAACTTTCTAACGGTTTTTAAATTTTTTTAAATTGTTTTTCCTCGACACTCAACAGCAGCTGTGGTGATGGTGTTGGACTCGTGTGACGTCGTCATGGATCGGGTCGAGGGTCAGTGCGTCAGGAGCGATGAGCAGGTGATGGAACCGGAAGTTCAAACGGGTCCAGTGAAACCCACCGTCCACGCTGGTCCGACGACCAAAGTCCTTCCCAAGGTAAGCAGTGCCACAAAGAAGGACAAGGTGTCCCACAACGGACTCCCAGCCCAGACCAAAGAGCGCCCCCTAGAGAAGAGGTCGTCATCCACGAAGGGTGGGGCCAAATCTTGTGTCCCCCTTTCCCGACCACTTAGCCTGGAGATGACGCCCCAGCGCCTGCGAGGGTCGCGTGAGCAGATGGCAGACAGGTGTCCTCCGTGGCGCAGTGGTCCCGCTGCCCCCTCGCCCCCCGCTCGCAGCCTGACGAGCCCCAGCCTGGGCGCAGGCGGCTGGATGCGCCGTAGTGAGAGCACGTGTTCGGTTAACTGCTCCTTGGGCCCTCGAGCAAAGAGGGGGCAGATGAGATCTGCCACCTCACTGCCGCATATCGTGAAAGGTACGGGGGGCAGCACGCAGCCTACGGCCCCCCGCTCCTGCCTGCTTGTTGCCCTCAGACCACTCAACCTGGAGCAGGAGAAGCAGACATTCTTCCAGTCAGACTTCAAGTATGAACCTCAGTTTGAGTACACCCAGCCTGAGCCCAGGAGCGTGCTGGACAAGTACTGCGAGGGCTCAGGCCTCTTCCTGGAACAGGTACCGATGTTCAGTATTAGTACTTCAGACTTAATAATCTGATTCTACTGATCTTCTACTCTGTTGTCGCCCTCAGGCGGTGGGCATCATGGAATGTGTTCTAAGGAAATTTGGCTCCTATGAGAAGTTCGAGGAGGTGACCGCTGGAAACGTGCTCTCAAAAAGTCAGATCTGGGCTTCAGTACGCAAATACTTACAGAAAGAAGGCTGCGTGGGTGAGGTGAGCGGCCATTTTTATCACCACATTAACATATGGTAATACGGGCAAACGTGGTTAGAAATTCATACACGGAACTATTTGATGACTAGGCTCTGATGAAGGTGTGTGTGTGTGTGTGTAGGTCGTGGTGCGTCTCTCAGATGAGCTGCTGTCTCAGGCAGTGATGGTGGTGGAGAGCTGTCGTCCCACTCTCACCATCAACCTGGCTGGAGCTCGGCAGCACTGGCTGGAGGGAATGATGAGACATGAGATTGGTAAGAACCCTCCTCCTAATACACGTAGCTGCACCAGGACTGTTGTAGCTAACGTTAGCTAACGTTAGCTCTGGTGTCTGTACCAGGACTGTTGTAGCTAACGTTAGCTCTGGTGTCTGTAGCAGGACTGTTGTAGCTAACGTTAGCTCTGGTGTCTGTACCAGGACTGTTGTAGCTAAATGGCTTGTTCATGACAGAGCAGAGAGCAGCAGTGTCACAGTCTGGACTCCAACCCAGGCCGTGCCTCTCAGACCGAATCATTTGCAAATGTTTCCTCCATACAAAGCCCTTCAGGTAGTTGTTTTCCTTAAATGCAAATGAAAATTCTGATTTATTCCAAGTTCGGCTGATGTTTTCAGGTAACTTTATCTATAAACTGCAACTTCCAGTTACTTCTTGTAGCTAACGTTAGCTAACGTTAGCTCTGGTGTCTGTACCAGGACTGTTGTAGCTAACGTTAGCTCTGGTGTCTGTACCAGGACTGTTGTAGCTAACGTTAGCTCTGGTGTCTATAGCAGGACTGTTGTAGCTAATGTTAGCTCTGGTGTCTGTAGCAGGACTGTTGTAGCTAAATGGCTTGTTCATGACAGAGCAGAGAGCAGCAGTGTCACAGTCTGGACTCCAACCCAGGCCGTGCCTCTCAGACCGAATCATTTGCAAATGTTTGCTCCATACAAAGCCCTTCAGGTAGTTGTTTTCCTTAAATGCAAATGAAAATTCTGATTTATTCCAAGTTCAGCTGATGTTTTCAGGTTACTTTATCTATAAACTGCAACTTCCAATAGTAAAATCTGATTCCTAAATAAAATAAATGTACATTTAACATCACATAATTTATGAATCCAAATTATTGTTTTCAATTTTGTAATGAGGGTGTGACCCGGGGATCAGTGTTGGTCTTTGCTCATTTGACGCAAGTCAGTGACTTGAACAAACAAGTCAATGCAAATAAAACTATTTTAAAAAGGTCAATAAAAAAGATCAAAGTGTTTTTTAAAAACTTTCAATATTTATTTAAAGTTATTAATTTATTTGTTATTTAAACTGGTGTGGTCAGCAAAGCTGGTCCTGTTTGATATTGTTCCACAAGTGCTCATAAAAATACTACAACTTCAGTTACAGAGTGCAAAGTAGGTGAGCATTTGCTCTGCCGTGCTGTTATATATAGGAAATATGTGGGCAGTGACGTTATGTACTGTACATATGGGGAACATATTGGGGACAGACCCCTCGGGGGCCGGACAATCGAAAAAAAAACAACACATTTTTGGCTAACTTTCTAATTTGATGTTTATTTTGGAATCCAGTACATTATCAACTGGTGGCCCAGGGGCTAAATCTGGCCCACCAAACTGTCCAATCCGGCCCACGGGTCACCAGTTTATAATCCCTGGTCATTATCAACTGGTGGCCCGCAGGCTGGCTCTGGCCCACCAAACCATCCAATCCGGCCCACCAGTTGATAATCCCTGGCGCAAAGTGTACAGTTAACTGTTTATTCAATAGTACTGATCACTGGTTAGGCAAGAATTAAACTCCCTGCCCCTGTGTTTGCTGCTCCGTGGACAGGTACACATTACCTCCGTGGTGTCAACAACAGCCGGCAGCCCTGGGCCACTGCAGAGGGCAGGAGGAAGTTTGGGCTCAAACCAGCCAACCCAACAGAGGAGGGCCTGGCCAGCCTGCACAGCGTGCTGCTCAGGAAGCAGCCGTACCTGTGGCGGGCCGCGCTCCTCTACTACACGGTGCACCACGCCGCCAGCATGAGCTTCAGCCAGCTCTTCAGCCACATTGCACGCTTCGTCCAAAACCCCGACGTCCGCTGGGAGTACTGCCTGAGAGCCAAGAGAGGACAGACGGACACGTCACAGCCGGGTGAACACACACACACACACACACACACACACACAACACTCTGGCAGATTGTTGAGAGTTGCTGGCACCAGCATTCTGCCTTCGATCCCCTGATTATTAAAATAGATTAATAAAATGAGCTGCAATGCTGCCATCTAGTGGCTTTCACATTCATATACAGTCATTTTTTCCCCCAAACTATTTTTAGGACACCCATCATTTAGCAAAACCCAGTCATTGCTTTATCGGTTTTCATTATCGGAGGAAAAACTAATAACGATTCTTACAGATATTAAATAATTATGCTAATAGTTTTTTTACTTTTTAAAACGGTCAGTTTTTGTGTGTTTATGCAGAAGCATTTTATAAATGTTCAAGTCCAATCAAGATTTTACAGACAAATTCACAAAACACCGTTTTTTTCACCTGGACGTTGTTTGGACATGACACATTGAAATAGAACACCACTACACAACACAACTCTGTTTGTGGGTCAGTCAACTTTGACATAAAAAACCTGTTAAAAAAAAAGCAAGATGATACACAGTGTTTTGGTACATTTGGTTCCAAGTACGATGAGGAAGAAAGACAAAAAGAAAGACGAGTCTGGGGACAGGAGACCAAGACCTGCCAGGTCCAGCAGCAAAAGGAAACCTGGATCTGTATCAACGTGTGTGTGTGTGTGTGTGTGTGTGTGTTATCAGGCTGTTTCAGCAAAGATCAGGTTTACCTGGACGGAATCCTGCAGCTTCTTCGCTATCGACGATCCATCGACTTCAAGATGTTGACCTCCTTGGGAAAGGTCAGAATCACGTTGAACAAATCAAATCCATTTATAATTGTAATTTAAACACTTACTGCATTGTGTAGTTAAAATAAAAGCGCTTTCAGGGACACTGCTGCCATCTGCTGGGCATAATTATTAGTGACGCCTGTTAAAAACGACGTCGAATGCAGCGGTTCCCAGAGAGTGTGGAGATGAGGAGGGGGGACTTTTTAAAAAAATATTTTCTTTAATTTTGCCTCGATAAGAAAATCGCACCGATTTGTAACTTTTCTCCAATTTGTTCAGAAGAACAGAATAGCAGTCGTTTTAATTATCTTTTGAACAGAATAGCAGTCGTTTTAATTATCAGCCGTTAATTGACAAAAGCGATGACGTACGTTTCACCAAAAAAAGTACAAGTTCAACTTATCTCCCTACCAGGTTTCCTACAGGGACGTAGAGAGGCTGCGCCCCCTGGCGACTCTTTGCAGACCCAGAATCCCACACTTCATGAAAGACCAGGAGCGGTACCTGCAACACCTGGATTACATCGTCGCCTCGAACGAGCTGAACGAATCGACACTCGAACGTCTTCTGCCATAACGACCCAAAAAATAAGCCAACGTCGTAGTGACGCATTTGAAAAAAAAAAACTACGTCGAGTATTTCTGGGCTTCTGTCCGAACAATTAAAAAAAAAAGTTAACGTTGAAGGAAACAAACAAAAGGGACGTAAACACAAACACCTCCGAGCTCCTGCTCCACGGTCGTCCACAGCATGTACCACCGGAGCTGCCGCCACAACGTTACCTCAACCCTGCAGCGAAAACACGGAACCAACGCAGTTCTTAAAAGTATTGTGTATTTACTGTACATATTTAAATATCATAATCGACACTATTTATTATTTTGATTCCAGACTGAAGACCTGTGGGGGGTTTTTTTTAAAAGCTTTTATGCCGTTTTTATGCCTTAATTATTTATTTTGTGTTGCATTTTTATCAAAGGGGAAAAAAAAGGACACACTATGTTCAGTCAAACAGGAAGTGGGGAAAAAGAAAACTGAGGCCGGAACCTGTAAAAATATCCAGTAACTTCCACTGGACTCAGATCCAACTCGGACCTTTTATTACCTGCTCAGTCCTTGGTGTCATCTGTTACCGTGACAACCGTGCCACTCTTTTTAAACTATGACTTTAGTCGAGCAGCCAACGTCAGCACATTCACAGCTGTTGCTTTAAAACATTATTTAAAACAATATTATTGCTACAAAAATACTGTTACTTATGACAAGAGAAAAACAAATGACAAATATGTTCAATATTCCCCACAGTGGCACATAAAGCTGTGCGCCACCAAAGGGGCCTTGCCCACCATATTGGGAACCAGAGGTAAAAACCTAAAAACGTGTTAAAAGTCTAGACTTCGATGTTTGCACTTTTTGATTTGTTTTAGCAAAGGCTTAGAAAATGTGGACTGGGATTGACTTATTGAAAAGGTGATTTACAGCATGTATATATGTACATCTATACATGTGTATACATACGTGTACATATATACACACCCATATATGTACATATATATTTGTTCATATATATGTACATATATATATATAATTATAATTGATGAACTTAGAAATTTAAATTCAAATATTGTTGGAGTGTTCAGGGAAACTAGCCCCTCCAAACACGTGAATTTTCTACGTCATGTGGAACTGTACCTTTAGCCTGGAGCTGAAGCAAATGATCTGCGATTAGTAATGACTTACAGTTCGTTTGCATCCAGAGATCCGTCCACTGGTCGGTCAACAGGCCTGTGGTCGCTGTGCCTTCTTCACCGATCAGCCGTTTTTGCTTTATACAATGTTTGACTTTTCACATGCAACTGTGAGTCTCTGTCTGCAACAGAACTAAAGACCAGGACCCAGAGCAAACGTTTCAGCCCCGCCCTGAGTGCAAAGTATGAACTCCAGTCTGAGAGTTTACAAAAATCCAGAGTTAATGATCAGGTCCACTTTGAATCTCTTCTCCTCTGAAGTTACTTCCATTGATAAGGAAGGTGTGAAATTGTTCTAAACACTGAACTATTCACTGAACTTCATTGATGAAATCGTTGTTTTGTCTTTCACATCAGCGCACAAGTGTAAATGTAGCAGCTCGTCAGTGTTTTCTGTTCTGCAGACCACGTTGAACTTTCACTTTATTAAAACTGCACAAAGTGTTAAAAAAAAAAGTTGTCTGGTTTGTTTACTCTCACAAAACATGGTTTTCTTTAACCCTAACTCCAGATACTGATACTCTAGCTGTTTAGTAATTATGTTAGTAATTTCTACTACTACCAATAAGAATATTTCTATACAACGCTTGACTTTACGTTTCATTTTCTTTTCCGGGCCTGTTTGAGGTCATCTGGTCATGTAAAAAAAAAATTAGTCCAAATCAGTGTTTCTCAAACTATGGTACATGTACCAATGATGGTACATGGGGGACTTTTTTTTATCTGTTGGCAAAATAGTAGAGCTGCAGCTTTTTAATCTGTTGGTAAAATAGTAGAGCTGCAGCAGAGAACAGAGAGAGAACTGGGCTGTGACACGTGAATGTATTAAACATTAGTACAGTCTCTGATCTCTACACTTTACACATCACCGTAACAAAGTTACCAAATAAACACCCTCTCCCCATGTACCACGTAATGGAGCCCAAGTACCACCAGTGGTACCTGGACCAATCCATCCATCCATCCATCCATCCATCCATCCATCCATCCAAGGTTTCATCCAATCACCGTGCACCTCTGTGATGTAAGGGGAAAAAGATGAACGTGAAAGTCGGGTGAGTTTAAATAAAAACGTTTATTCTTTTTCAATATAGTTTTTGTTCTATAGGAGCAAAAATCACCTCCGTGCCACTCAGTGCTAAAACCTAGACCTGGAGATAAGTCACCGAGGCGACTGACAGACGGCTTTACAGTTACAGCAGCCGCTGGACACGGGTCCAACAACAGTCACTTTGCTCTTTTGTACTAGGTGGTGGGAGTGTGGGGGAGGAAAGGGAGCTGAGAGGACAAGGAGGAGGAGTTCAGACCTGACTTCAGATCAGATTGGTTGGCGACACAGACCAAAGCAGCAGAGATTCCCACCCGTGTGTGTGTGTGTGTAAATGGGTGTGTGTGTGTTTTGCAGTGTTGACTCTCACTCCAGTTTGGCTGCTGACAAAGTTTCTGCCATGAAAAGGTCACAAGTTGAGGTAACAAAGAATTTTCCTGGATAAAGAGGAGGGAAAAAAAAGTTAGAAAAAAATTACCATTAAAAAAATATTAAATTAAATCCAGGAATGGACTCTACGTAAACAAAACACACGTTGTGAACGTTGATACTTACAGTCAAACAGCAGACAGTATTTTTTTTTTCAGAACTGACTTTCTGTCTTTAACCCGTCCTAAAATTTGACTGACTGACTGAGAAACTTAAAACCAAGGACTTCCTTCTCATCGACACTTTAGTGACCCCTGGCGTTTAATCCTCGTCAATGACATGAAAACACAAAACAATTTATTCTCCGGAAAAGTCTGGGTCCGGAGTATGTGAGAGTCAGTGTGTCATTATTTGTTTTGTGTATATCAACATACAGTACATGTATATGGCTGCATTACTGCAGTAATACAACAAAAACTTCAATGGTCATTGCTAGCAACAAGTACTCAGAATATACACAGATATTTTTTTTTAAGTACTCAGAATATACACAGATATTTTCTTTTACTTTGGACTAGGCATGTCCAATAATATCGACCAACTGATATTAGCTTAATTACGTAATATCAGTAAGACTCATTATCGGTTGCCAGCAACTCATACAGTGGTTTGTACAGATAAATAAATAAATAAATAAATAAATAAATATTACCAGGACAGGTATTAGTGTTTGGACAATATTGGCAGATCTTATATGGGCATAAACTTCTCTATAAAAATCTGACACCTGACGCACTGACGTGTATGTGTGTGTGTGTGTGTGTGTGTGTGTGTGTTTTACCTGCTGTGTGGTCATCATGTTGCATTGGAGCTGCTTATTGCTTTTGGGCCGTCTGTGTTGGCGTTTGCTTGTTCCTTCACCACGGGGTCTGAGGAACAAATGACATTTGGCCCAAAATCACAGGTGTAAATGTAGCAGCACAAAATTACTGTATTTACAAAAGATGATAAAAACAGAAATGTGGATAAATGCTCCTGGGCCGAATACGGGCTGAAATTTCAGAACCAGCTAAAGGACAGCCTTGATCCCACCCGTCAGCAGGATTGGCAAACTTTTTGACTCACAGCACCACAACTCACAGGTCCTAAAATTTTAAAATTTAATAATGTAATTTAGACAAGTTTGACGGGCCAGATTAAAAAAAAACAAACGGGCTGCATCCGGCCCCCGGGCCGTAGTTTGCCCATGTCTGGCCTAGAGTATCACATTAATGCTCAACTTAACTTTATGAAACAAACTGTTTGCAGAGACTTGAACACGTACAACTACATTAGTGCAGTACTTTATACCAGTATGAGAAGTACACAGCAGGATGCAGTACTTGGCCTGCCCAGGTATTAGGGTACTTACAGAAGTACGGATGCTGCATGGCCTCAGCTGCCGTCAACCTCTGCTGATGGTCGTATCGCAGCAGTTTGTCCAGCAGGTCCAGAGCCTCTGCACTCACCAGGTGCTGGTTCTCTGACTGGATGAACTGCTCCCAGCGCTTCCGTGTTTGCCTGGACACACGATGACAAACACGTCATGTGATTTAAAGTGACAGTTTGTCTTTTCTACTTTTGCTTCCTCCGACACTCACTGTCCCAGCAGGTCTTTGAAGCGAGTGTCCAGTTCTATGTGATACTTGTGCAGGTAACCAAACAGCTCCTCGGTGCCGAGAACCTTAGCGATGCGGACCAGCTGACAAACAAGACACACGCAGGGTTAAGGACTACAGCTGCACATGACATGCTAATGCTACGTGTTAGAGCATTTGTTTGGACAGATGGTCATCGGAGATCATTGACGAGAAGGGAAATATATGTCAAAGACTATATATACAATAACGTTTTTAAACTGATATTTTAGACAAAAATATATGCTTGAGTTCAGAGGAACAATAAGAGGACATTCATAAGAAATTAAAAATACTAATCATCAGACTGATTAACCATAATTACAGTCAAGAACGACATTGAAGTGAAGGTGAATGAGCGGTAGAAAGAGTGGAAGGAGACAAAGAATAATAATAATAATTAATAAAAAATTTGGAATTTGGAACTGCCCCGCTACTCTAAGGAACCGATAACCAAGACAAAGATCATTTGTCAGGGACAAATGAGACGAAAGAAGAGAAGAAAAGGGAGCAGCAGGAAGAAGGAGGAGCGTCTCTGTCGTAGAACAATCACCTGGTCATAGTTGTCCTGGCCGTGAAAGAACGGCTCCTTCAGGAAGATCATACTGGCCAACATGCAGCCTAGACTCCACATGTCCAAACTGTAGTCATACATCTGCAACGAGAGAGGAAAGACAGCAGGACTGAACAGAGTGCTGCCGTCACAGTGAGGTTTGTTCCAGGAGTGAGGAGTGAGAGCAGGTACCTGATAGTCCACCAGCAGCTCAGGGCCTTTAAAGTAACGAGAGGCCACCCTGACGTTGTACTCCTGAGCAGGGTGGTAGAACTCGGCCAAACCCCAGTCTATGAGTCGCAGCTGTTTGGAAAAAAATGGAGATGGAATGGAATTATATCATCGCTGTAGAACTGTATTAATCATGAGGTTTAATAACTGATGAGGTGGAGCAGAGACAATACAGTGAATTACAGAAAACTGCAGAGGTGATGTACAGATACACAAAGATGTACTTTGGTAGGATACTTCAGTAAATGTACTCTGTTGCCATCTACTCCTGAACAGAATTTTGAAACTTTTTTGGAACTAGTTTGTCAGAAATTTACAGGAACAACTGACGTGTGTGTGTGTGTGCGTGTGTGTCACGTGCATGTCTAAGATTACAGTAGTTTCTGGACTATAAATCGCTGTGGAGTATAATTGGCACCAGCCAGAAAAATGCAAAATGAAGAAGAAAAAAACAACATATACAGGCCAGAAAAATGCAAAATGAAGAAGAAACAACAACATATATACAGTAAGTCACTCTGGAGTATCACCAGTGCCCTCTAGTGGCTATCAGTGTGAAGATAACAAACATGACAAATTATATATTTTAATATATAAGTCACAAACCCAGCCAAAGGATGAAAAAAAAAGTGTGACTTATAGTCCGGAAAATATGGTAATATTAACTGGGCTGGAAATTCCACAGAACATTTAGTGTCATGTGTGAGGTGCTGCCCAGCAGCTGTGTCTGACATTATACTTGGGTCATTTCAGAACATATTTGACAGGCACCTTTCTTAGCTGATGATCGATCATCACGTTGTGGGGCTTCACGTCTCTGTGCATGATTCCCATACTGTGACAATAGTCCAGAGCCTGGAGGAAAACACACGAGTGACCATGAGGAGAAAGAACCAAAACCCTGGACATCTGACAGTGTGAACTCCATTTCCATTTGTTCATGGTCTTTATGTGATGTGGTTATTTCACAAAAGGACATCAATGAATATACAGTATTTCTGAAGTACAAAACTCAACAGGAATTAAAGTGCACCTCAGACACACAAGGCTGTTTGGAACCATGTGTATAAAGAACATTCTGCTTCTCTGTGTTCATTTTTAGAAAGCAGTTTATGGCCCAAAAAAACAAGTGCACCGTGAAAATAATCAAGGGAAACTACAAAGACGCCGTCAATGAAGTAACTGTAAGTAGTTTCTCTCACCTTGAGCAGCTCGTACATGTAGTAACGGATGTCGTAGTCTGTCAGCTTCTGGTAAAGCTCCTGTCACACAAATTAAAGAAGAAAAATTCAAAACAAAGCCCAACATCTGCACTGGTCTCTGTTAACTAAGGATTATGCATGTGATTAATTATGACATCGACGTCTGCATGGATGGTGGTTACGCCTGTTTAATATTGGCCAACTTAAAATACCTTGAAATCTGTGTTATTGATGCACTCAAAGACAAGCGCTGGTGTTCTGGACTGCAAAGAAAGGACAACACAAACTTAAGAGAGGTGGAGAGCTGAAGGGTGGAGATACGTCGTCACAGAGAGGCACGCAGTTAGGAGCGGGACGCCATCGGAACTTTCTGACATGCACATGACGCAGGCTTTTCAACTAACCACGGGGTCTTTGACGGTATCGACCAGACGGATGATGTTGGTTCCTCCGCGCAGGTTTTCAAGGATTTTGATTTCCCTTTTGATCTTCTTCTTCTTGACTGGCTGTGAACAGAAAAACATACATTAAACAGCCTTGACTCCAAAGACAGGAACAACAATGGCAGCACTTAATAAGCAGCGCAACGATCAGGAAGAAATACATGAAAATCATCAGTGGAGCAGCAGACGTGGACAGCAGTTACATGAGAATTACCAACAGCTTTTCTAGCTTTTCTTTCACAGAATTCCCTAAAGAGCTATGGCGCCCCTGAAAGGAGGTCAGCCTCTTTGTAAAATGTTTTTCGCCTATATAAAAAAATGATGACATTTTCAATCACAACAATTTGGAGACAATACAAATAAAGAGTTGAAACAAGACAAACATTTGAGATGCAACACAATCAAAATCCCCCCGTTGTCTACACTTTTAAATATGAAGAACTTTTGCAAAGTACTGCACAAATCATGAAAGTCATCTGGAGGTAATGAGTTCCTCTGACACAACAACAACAGTTACAGTTAGACATGTCACACTTTCTTCTAGACACTTAGGAGGTGAACGTCTGCTCTGCCTCTGGGGGAGAAACAAAACATGTTCTGTGCTTACCTTGAGGATCTTCACCACAACCTTCTCATTGTTGGTCACATTGATGGCCTCAAATACTTCGCTGTACTTCCCTCGACCCAGTTTACGCACCAGCTGGTAGTTGTCCTGGTTGCTGAAGAGGAACATTGGAAACATTGTAACTCCAACCGCAGGAACATCGAGAATTCGACCTGAGCTACTGCCCCCACTTACGGTGAAACAGGTCTAACCAACCACAAAGCATTGTGGGAAACTATCCACCCATACTACAACATTTTTTAATGTATGCAATATTTTTGACATCACGATGACCATACATTTAACATGAGAAACAAACATGTTTGTAACAGTAATAAAACGTTTAGAACACACAAATACATATACTGTATATTTTTATATACATACAAATATATGCATACATATATACACACACACATATGTGAACAGTATATATACATATATACACACATGTGTACAGTATATATACATATATACACACATGTGTACAGTATATATACATATATACACACATGTGTACAGTATATATACATATATACACACATGTGTACAGTATATATACATATATACACACATGTGTACAGTATATATACATATATACACACATGTGTACAGTATATATACATATATATAAACATGACAAATCACTGAATCATTTTTAGAAAAAAAAAGGTTTAATACTTGTGTTGATACAGAGGAAACACTGGAATTTACCTCCAGTTTGGAACGTGAGCATCGTAGTCCCAGTACTCTCGGTTTTTCTGTGTGTTGACATCCGTGTACACCCTAGCTTTGCTGCTTGCCGGCGTGGACCCAGGCATTGCTGTCTTGAAGGCCCCCTGTGGAGGACCTACAGCTCCCACAGAACACTTGGTGGCTTGATTCTGGAGGGCAGCGAAGCGACTCTCCAGAACACGCGTCTCTAAAATGGCTGTGCTGTGTTTAGCATTGGCTCTGGTCAGACGTGGCCTTCTGTGAACAACGCTGACCCAGTGTGACAGAGCTGTCGTGCAGACTGACAGCGCAATGAGGACTGAGTGTGTGACGCCCCTGAGAAGGATGTTTGGCAGGATGGGATGAAGACCCGCCAGCTGCAGGAAGACACAAATGTTTTTTTCTGTTATTTTACAACAAAGGAAAAAAAAACTAAGTAAAACATTATTTTACTGTAGATTGAACCAACAGTTAGGATCCAGGAATCGCCGTGTGTCTGAACAACTGATCATTTACTTAAGCAGTACATGTCACAACACTGAGGTGTTTCCTTCCCTCCGTCCTCTCTTGTGAACTGAAGCCTCAGGTGTAAAAGAGTGCATTGATTATTTTCAATGAATCGTGGAATAATTCCAGAAATAACAGCATGTTTTTAATAGGTCAGAATCTAAGCAAAAGTACACATACATGTACAAACAGCTTTGTATGCTTCTTTGTTGTTAAAATTCACCACATACCATCACAAAGTGATTCACTGCCCTTCCTTCTGGTGAGAGGGACTGGGACAATGGAATCAAACCTGCAGCAACTGCATGGCAGGCAGGATCCTACTACTGCTGTACTGCAGTCTACATCAGGGTTGACACAATAAAAATGACAATTCCTATATCTAAAACGATTAACCCTCCTGGAGCCATGTCCTGGAGCCACATTTTATTACATTGTGAGCAACAACTGAAGTAAACCACTTGGTGTCTCGTCATAATTGCTGTCCTGTAGTTATTTTTTTTAATCATATTTTCTTTCTAAACAGAATTGCAGGAGAAAAAAAACTAGCATAATGTTTAACCCGAATACTGGCCTTTCCATGGCAGAGCCTGAGAGCTACTGATAGGCTGTCGATATTTTATAACATACATGTCCATAACCCAGATAAACGCCAATTTATTACCCCAATAAAAATTGGGGTAATCCAATAAAAAAAGCACCAACTGGTTACACCCTTTAACACAAACAAACATAGCATTCCATGAATAAATTCTGAAAATGTGACCCTCCACATTTTCCCACAATACACCAGAGCAGATCTCCAAAACACTAACGTGTTGGGAACCTCATAGACATTAGTGAGACAAGTGTCAAACCGTACATTCTTCCTCGTGACCAAAACGTTCCCAAACCCGTTTTTACAGCCCCAAAAAGTGTGACTTATGGGGCACGTCACGACACGGGCCTTCACATACATCCGCAAAGCTTGTATAAATTCAAAACAGAGGATATTAATTATTAACAATCCTGGTTACAGAAACGCCCCATGAACGCCTCACCAAAATATAGTGCACCAACATCTGTTACGAGCATTTCAATATAAAGTCAATGTAGAGGCTGTTAGTTGCGATGACCTAGCCTGCCTAGCTAAACGCCAAAACGACACAAATTGAAGCTTGTAAAAGACACACGAACAATATTTGGTGATACACTGTACAACCGTGTCTAAAGCACATATCCAAACCGTGCGCTAACTGGAGAAACAATTTAACAAATGAAAGAGCAAGAAGTATTAACGAGGCTAAAGTTAGCCAGCTAACCTCGTCGTAGCTACAACCGGAGCTCACAGGAAACTCATTCGTCAGCGCCGGCGGGACGATTCTCTCCGCACATCGACGAGTCCAAACCACCTCTTAAGTCACCGATAAAGGTGGAATAGCCACAGGACCGGGGACAGAGAAATGTGTACCCGGAAAAATGGGGGTGGTTCCCAGGCAAGAGCTGGAGAATCTACCCTTTCGCTGCAAACATCCCCCGGAAGTGAACCCGAAGCTCACTGAACCCGCAAAACTGTGATCCGCAAATAACCAGGTGGTACCAGCGTTCTGTCAGGGTTAGGACTCAAAAAAAGGATTTCCCGGACTCGGACGATAGTTGTTTTTTCGTGGTATTGTCATTGATGGCCTAAAATTACAATGGGAATCATCAAAATAAAAGAAACACTTTTCACTGTTACTGGTTAGTGATAATTACTTCCAATTGCAGCCATCATGTGTTCTTGTATGTTTTATTAAAATGTACAATGTTTAAAACTGTGTATTCATAGTAGTGTAGAAATGTCGTCCACAACAAGTAATTTCAACACTACATGTTGTAATATAAAATACACTTTTTATACAGCGTAAGTGAGACAATGATGAGTTCAAGTACCTGTGGTCAACTATCCAGAGTAATGGATAGTACAGGACCATGGGAGGAAAATGATGCATTCAGGGTGGGGTGGATGGAGAAGAGTGTCAGGGGTGATTTGTGACAGGTGAATGGAAACGAAATAAAAAGGTCAGAGTGAGACCTGTGATGATGTATTGGTTTTATTTCATTTACCTATTGTGGAAAGTATAAAAACCAGCTAGAGCTATACTGCCACGCTGCACTATAATCGAAGAAGGCTTGTAGGTTTTACAGTTATCAAATTGTAAAGTTATTTTATAGTACTTGTGGAACCAAAGCAGAACCAGCTCTTGGCATAAGCCACACAGGCGGTTGCCTAGGCTGCCATCTGCTGGAGGGGGTGATGTAACCCTGAGAAACAAAAACAAAAAGACTATTTGAATGAGGGTGATTGGGGCTGTGTTACACCAAAAATGGCTACAATGTACTCTGGAGTCCAGGCTTCCGAAAGGTGAGGTCATAGATGTGTACCAGAGTTCGAATTTGTCATGTAATAAAAAAAAAAAACCCCACGTACACCCGTTTTCAGAGTGAGTTTATTTTTACTCCTGTTTACAGTATCAATATGACTCTATATTAATGATACCATGTGTAAAGTTAACACGTCATAACACATGGTTGTCATTCCTGCAGATTTTGAAGCAGACACAACAGAACCTTTAACCATGGAACCGTGGAAAGTTACGTTCCCTTTGTCCATGGTTTTTGAAATTCCAAAAAATCTTTTATTTTAAATATACTGCAAAGATTGTACATAATAAAGAAAGCCACACATTAAAGTACACAATTTACTTTTCCCTGGTTTAGACAAACACTGAGGTCGCTCAACTTTTGAGGCATATATGGACTCATCTGCCAGAAACCCAATTCTGGACCAGGAGGGGGCTAAGATGCTGGCAGTTTTTTCTAGGCCAGTTCATTTCGTTCTTTTAAGAAACAATAGTTAAAAAAACATGATGTTTGTTAGATCTATCACACAGTAACTAACGCAGCTAATTTGTTGCAAGTATGCAAGATAACGCTTGCTGGTTAAACCCTGTGATGAAGGGTCAGAAACTGAAACTCAAAAGCTTGCAAAATACAGCAAGCTCATTCATAGTAAATACAAAAAGCATGTTACATAAGCACTATACAGTTTCCAATGTTTTACATATGGGTATACACACAATCTATAATATAACAGTTGACTATGCCATGATTCAGTAGTCATAAATATTACACTGTGCATATTCTATTGCACAAGTTAAGTGTGTGTGTGTGTGAGACATCATAGGTATGTTTGTTACCTAGGTGTCACCGTTTTAATACAAAGATGCAACAACACAGATTTTAAAGGACACAGACTATACATGTTCACAAAGTCACTTATTCTTCCTAGAATTCCTTTTACTAAATAAACCAAACCTAAAAATACAACACTTCATAATATTCAAGTGTGATAAATATTCATGCACCAACAGATGATAACTATCTAAGAACTAGTATGTGAAAATATAGTGCTGCTCAAGCCGGCCGCTTTGTCTTCACTGGACATGAAATGAACAGAAACACAGGAGCAATTAAACAAGAGGGTTAAAAAAAACAAAAACAAAAGGCACATGGATTTCAAAATGACCTTAATGTGAGCACAGCTGTTCTCTCAAAACTGTCTGAAACCTGTCATCTCAGCTACAGAATTAAAATTACAAAACAGACAATCACATGCAGCTAGGGACGTCCGATATTAACTTTTTGCAGATATTCGATATGCCGATATTGGCCAAACACACAAACCAGCACCATCATTCTGCATACAATCAAAATAGATTTATAAAATGAGCTACAATTGTTCCATCTTGTGACTTTCACTTCCAAATACAGCCATTTTTCACCAAAACTATTTTTAGACTATACATCATTTTCTTACAGTTATCACATAATTATGCTAATATCGGGCTGTTAGTACCGGACATCCCTACATGCAGCCAATGGATATGGTCCCACACTCGCTTTAAGACTGAATCAAGATCTTTCCACGTTATATTAAAAACCATTTTTACATGCTCTTTTTGTAAAAAAAAAAAAAACCAAAACAAAACAAAATCCTCAAGGTTTTCTTTTAAATCTCCATGTTTCACTTATAATCATTAAAAGGCTGGGGATGAACTAAAAATGATCAAATATCATAAATGGATGGACACTTTCAACTACATTTGGGTGGGGGACGGGGGCCTTGCACGTGTCACTTTTAGAGAAAAAGTCATGTTTGTAACGCAGCACTGAGAAGCTTTAAGAGTTCATGGGATGCACGGAGTTTCAGAGAAACTCTCCCCCTCTGCTGTGTGCTGGACTGTGTGCTCCTGCAAAACCGCAAGGTCAAGAAAGCGCTCTCCGCACCACACACACTTGAACTGTGTCTCACGGGAGTGCACACTCTGATGTTTGGCCAGATGCTCACGTTGTTTAAAGCTCTTGTCACAGCTGGCACATTTAAAAGGCTTCTCCCCGGTGTGGACCCGGCGATGGCGCTGCAGCTCCGATGAATACCTGAAGCGCTTTTCACAGTCGGGACATTTCAGCGGTTTCTCTCGCGTGGGATCGCAGCGGTGCTGCACAAACTCCGAGGACGACACAAAGCGCTTGTCGCACAGGGAGCATTTCAGTGGCTTCTCTGTGCAATGAGAGTTCTGGTGGCGCTGCAGCGTTGAATTTTTCTTGTAGCCTTTTCCACACACCTCACATTTGTAGGGCTTTTCAACTTCACCACCGCACTTGTGCCTCAGCAGTTCCCCCGACTGGCTGAAAGACTTCTGGCAGGATGCACATTTGAACAGACTTTCCATACCGTGAACCTGCTGGTGGTACAGCAGGTGGGATGGTTGAAGGAACCCCTTATCGCAGAGGTTACACTTGAAAGGGCGATCGGCTGTATTTTTGTGAGTGCGACGATGGCGTACCAGCGCGTACTGCTGTTTGAAGCTCATTTGGCACTCCTCACACTGGAACGGTCGCTCCTCAGAGTGGGTTCGCTCGTGTTGCCGGAGGTCGGATGGGCGCTTAAAGCTCTTTCCGCAGGAACCGCAGCGGAAAGGCCTTTCGCCTTCGGGCTGGCACTGATGATGCAGGAGCTCGGACGACTCTTTAAAGTGCATCTCGCATAAATTGCACTTGAAAAGGTGCTCACCGGAGTGAGCGTACATGTGTCGCACAAGGTGGGAGCGATGCTTAAAGCTCTTCTCGCACACAGCACACTTGTACGGTCGCTCGGAGCTGTGTGTGCGCTGGTGGTGTGCCAGGTGTGAAGACTGGCTGAAGCTTTTGTCGCACGTGTCACATTTATATGGCTTTTCTCCGGTGTGCACCCTTTCATGACGGGTCAACTCAGACAAATGGCGGAAAGCCTTGTGGCACACGGAGCACTTGTACGGCCGGTCTGGCGCAGAGGCCTCAAATGCCGGTGGAGACGAGGCGCTGATCACTGCACCGCCACTTGAAGTCTCGCCTGTGGAGGGCTGCTGGGGGTTGGCAGCTGAGGAGGTGGGAGTGACGTTTCCAGACCCGGGCCTGTAGGTCTTTTCACAGATGGAGCACTTCATCGGGTTGTTCCCGTTGCCGTGCGAGTTGTGATGCTGAGCCAAGGATGTGAGCAATGAGAATCCCATCTTGCAGACCCCGCACACAAAAGGCTTCTGCTCCACCTGCACACACTGATGTTCCAGCAGGTCAGTTGCCTGGCTGAAGATCTTCATGCACTGTGTGCACTGAAAGGACCGGTCCTGGTTGACTATGCACTGGTGCTCATGAGGGTTGGCCAAGTGAGATATGTCATGACCGCAGGCCCCACACTTGTGCCCTCTCTCTCCCCCCACCTGCAGGGCGGGCTGCTGAGCTTGAACAGTATGCTGTTGGCCATGTTGTTGCTGTTGTAGGGAGGTGTCTGGCTGCAGGACCACGCCGTACACAGTGCAGCCCAGTGAGTTGTCTGTTGTCTGGGACAGTGTGTGCACGACAGAGGGTGGAGCCACTGCGTGTTGCTGCTGCTGCCATGCTTCCGTCATTGTTTCACTTCTCATATAAGGACTCAGTGAACAGGACGTTGGGGTTGATTGTGGAATGGAACTAACAGATCAACAGGAACTAAAGGCTACAGCCCATTTACACCTCCACTGAGACAAGAAGGTCAACCTACAGGAAAAAGAAACAAATATGAATCAGACAACTCTCTCAGAAAAAAAGGAAAGCCGACCATGCAGGAAGAGACGAGTGATTGTAAACAAGGACATCTAATTCAAGTTTTTTCTTTGACATGACTGTTAGTATTGAAAATTGTGATTTCAAACTTTAGCCGCAGCTAAGAGCTAAATGAATAACCCCTATTATTGAATTAGTTCTAACAAATTGAAGCGATTTATATTTACTCTGACAGGATACCAGCAGTTTCCCTGCTTCCTTAGGAACATGCAATTACACATTTAATTTTCTGCAAGTGTGTTATGGCTAAAAGATATCTCAAGATATCTATGATTATCAGCTTAAAAACAACAACAACAACAACAACAACAAAACAACCCATTAAAACTTCCGGCATCATATCAATATTCAATTCCATACTTGTGCTGAATTGAACAGTGTCCAAATGCAGAACTTTGAACTGGGCAGGTTTGTCTTTTTAAAATGATTTTCAGCTGAAACCGAAAGGTGAAAGCTGAATTTCTCACTACCTCAAAAGGTGCAACTCAACAGATCATTTTATATGAAACATTTTTTTAGAGCCAGTGTTATACTATAAATGCATTAAGGTCAAATGGCAAACGGAAAAGTGTACTCTCCCCTCAGTGGCATCACCTACATGTATTGCTCCACCCCCGCCTCCATCACTCAACTGCTGAATTAAATAAAATCAATGGTTACCATGGCAGGGGAAGACACGCTTTCCTTTCTTTTACTGTTTCAATTTGACGTGCTGTATACAGTTTATAATGAAACGTAAATTGGCAAGCATGAACCTGATTATTCTATTAACATCAAGTAATAAACCAGCACTCAATTCCAACTGAGCTATTGCTAGCTGATTACTAATCGAGGTGATGGCTGTGTGAGATATTTTTGTTTGTTGGTTTTTATGTATTTTAACTGTGTAAACATCATGTTATTGTTCCACACAACAGCTGATGAATTGTGAATGTGACTAAACATTGCACTAAAGAAACCAGTTCTTAAAAATTAGGTCAATGGGTTAAATTAATAAAATAAAATTGTATTTAACACATACTTTGCCTTTAGGATAATTTCAACCAAATCATTATTAATAAATATTAAAAACAACTTCAACAAGATGAGGTTTTATCAATAAATAAACAAAACCAATGAAGCCAATCGTCTCTACAGACCCAACAATAATAATGGGAATCAAAAGGTTTTTCTTTAGCGGCCTAAAAATAGACTGTTATCACTCAGATATTTGACATAAATCTGAGGCCAATAACGTTACACTAAAATCAAAAAAGAAAATATGTGTAAATATTTTAGGGAATGACGGCAGAGTAACAGACATGTTCACGCAGAGCCTCGTTTAACAACAGGGAATCAGCAAAAATAACAGTTGTATTCCAAGAACTGGGCTAAGGCTATTTCCTGAAACACGAACGCATTGGTGAAAAATATATATATTAAAGAGCTAATATGGCGCGGGGAAACTACGTCAATTTAACAATAGTGTACTGTTTAATTTTTTGAGGCGTGTGCACGTTATTTAACGCCAACATTGTTGTATTAACACGGCTACAAGCCGCTAGTTTTTCAGCCGCGGTAGCGAAGCTAAAGGCTAACAGCTAACCAAACAGCGGAGCTCGTTTTATATCATTTCCATCCAATCCCGCATCGTAATCGCATATTAACACTCCACCCGTGTAGTTGTTATCAAGACAAGCAGCACACGCAACGACAGAACAAAACAAGTCGGTGGACGGGAGCTCTCGGGCGTTGTCGCAATGGCTGAAAAGTCGCTTTAATGAAGGTAACGTTTGATACAAACCTTCGTCGCAAACAGACCCTCGAATCATTCTAGGCCTCCCCGGAGCTGCAGGGGGAAATCCGCCTCCTGTAGCAGAGACCCCTGGTAACTGCCGAAAATTCAACACGTACTACAAAATTATATTTACTTACACGCACCCCTGCAGATTGTCAGTGATTTCCGCTGAAGACACCAGCCTGGGGTCAACAGCCTTCCTTGTGTCTGGAAGTCGCAGTACCGGCGGTGGAGAGGATGCGGTTGAAGCCGGACGCCATCCTCTTGCAAACGAACGGACACCGGAAACCGCCACGCAGCGAACTACTGCTCGCTGCCGCAGCTATCGTTACCGCAGCTGCCATAAAAGCAGCAAACAAACGAGGTTTTACCGAACAGAAGCAACTCTGACTTTACTTGACCTCACTGTGTCAATTTTAGTAAGAAAGATTTTACAACAGATGCTGATATTAACTAAGGCGTTTCTCCATCGACACAGAAGGGGGCAGTGTTTTGCAAATTCAAGACGATGGTGACCCGAGAACAGCCACTGAAAGGCCTAGTTGTGATCTGTCAAGTAATCTGTCAAAGGGTGATGACGCTAAATGTCTCCCGTAGCGGTTTCATTTGGATCAGTGACAACGTAATGAAAAATATGTAAAATATTCTTGGTATTTACTAGATCTCCCCTGAACTACAGTGCATGGTAAATTAAGGTAAATGCTATTATTTGAGCTATGGGCCGATTAATTTCACACACATGACAAAACACAATAAAGTGTGTTTTATACAATTAAGTATTTGTCTTAAATTGTACATGTTATTATTACTTTATTTTAGTTGTATTACCTTTCACATGTAGCTCTTTCCGGTTAGAGTGAGGTACACAGAAAATAAATTTAAAAAACTGCAATTGAGTCAAGCACTGAAAAGCTGAACGCACGGAAGTGATTGTTTTTCAAAATAAAATACCGAAATGTACCAGCGTTAATTAAAAATAAATAAATAAAAAGAAATCCGCGATCCGATATACAATGATCCACGGCTTGGTACGGCTCTTTGGTCTGTAGCTTCTTTGACCTCTGAAGTATACAAGATGCTTATTTACCCATATATTCCTTACACATATCTTTAGCTTTAACTGTAATGGATTTTCAGGAGCAGCTGTCACACCAACACCCACCGCTCCAAGCAATTGTGTGTTTCTATTTCTTCTCGTACTACACAGACGTGTGCCAACCATAATAATTACTGTTGTTTGTGTTTTGTTTCCCACTGTTTTACAGGTGTGGGAGTAAAAAAAAAAAAGGAATCTTAATTCAAGAATCCCGTTCTGTCTTTGTTTGTATCCTGAGATTTCAGGTAATGTATATGTATATTTTGGCCTTGCAGTATTTGTACACACTGATATGCACAGAGGGTGGGTGTTGGTATGTAGATGTAGATAAGCTCGTCTACCAAACAGCTGGAGTTTGATCCTTTCCTTAAACCTTGAGGAGCAGCCTCTAGGCAGGGGAAGGAACAACTGTATCATTATAGAAAATGATTATTAACTTTTGGTATTCATCAATATAAAGTATGTTCTCTGTTTTGACATAATTTCCATATTGTGTTTAATTTGTAAAAAGAATGCAGTCATCAGGGGGCGCCACTGATGGGTTTTGACTTTTTGATTTTGTTTTATACAGTACTAGGACTGGGAAACACTGTCTCAGGTTATACTTCATAAATCAAGTTTAATTTAACTCTTGCTCATTCTGACGATATACTGAATATTGTATTTATGTTCTGACTGGAACAAAATTTAGGCAGTAAGTTTGAGTAAAAAAAAAACCCAACAATCCACAAATTCAGTAGAAATGGTCTTGAAGTAAAAAAAAAAAAGAAAATCATTATCACTATCATGTGACCAGATCAGTGTACTGCACTGACCCACACGGGGTCCACGCCCCAGCGTTATAGAAACCTGCATGGCACACTGACCCACACGGGGTCCACGCCCCACCGTTATAGAAACCTGCATGGCAGTTCACTTCATGCAGTGGAAGTAGCTGCTGTAGGTTGTGTTCAAGTAAAAACAAACTGTGTTTCTTTTAATAACCACACCAAACTCCAATCATTTCAAACATTTCCTTATTTTCTCCACATTAACTTTGAAACAACCTCATAAACCAAAGAGTAAGAAAGAGCATGCTCGGGCATGCAATGATGTCACAACATGATGATGCCACTGGGTGCGAAGTACAAAACATACAGTAGCAGAGAGTTTTCTTTTATATCATTCATAAACTGGGAACATTCTCAGCGTCCACTGAGAGTTAGAAGCGAGCGTTTATTTTACACTGCTCTCCGTGTCTCGTGTAGCCTTGTGTTGCCGGATAAAAGAGACGAAAGGAAGAAACGGACAAACTGACACTTTTGGAGTTGAGCAGGCGAAACAAACATGCTGAGAAAAGAAAATCTCATCTGGCCCCGGAGCGTGTCCAGAAATGACAGCGTAGAAACCCGAGCATTCGATTTATAATGGGTCCAAAAATGTGAACTGAGCTAAAGAGAGAAAGAGAGAGAGAGAGAGAAAGAAAGAAAGAGAAGAGAGAGAGAGAGAAGAAACAGTGCATGCCAATTCAGATTTAAGAGGAAGGTTTAGCAGGTTGGAATGGTAGGTCACAGGGCAGGATATTTCCTTTGTCGTCAATAATAGTGCCGTGTTCTAAATCAACCAGAGACGTAAAAATGACTAGATACGAGGCACGCGGCATCCTCTCTGTCTCGCAAAATGCAAAAGTAACAAACTGGAATAATAATGACATACACAGATATATAGAATTATTGGCTATAACATAACAGTCTCCAGGCTGTACAAAGGGCCAAGGCTGAATCCTCAGTGTGTCAGCGGTTACACGTGTGTCGGATGGAGAGGTTTTTGCATGTTAGTGTGTGTGAGTGTTAATGTGCCGACAGAAAACGTCACCATGACTCTGTGGGAACCGTCCCTCCAGGTGATGGTCTGTGTTGGTCGCTGACGTTTGATTGGCTAATCAAACTGGAATCTGGTCAGATTCTGGGACCAGGTGGATGTGGAGTGTCCGTCAGTGGGTGCGGGGACGGTCAAGATGGAGACGGAGCAGTGATGTTAAAGGGATAGAGGATGCATTTTTTTAAAGCCCCACGCAGCCCCATGCAATGGTTGCGTGTGTTCATGTTCATATCGAAAACAAAGAGAGAAAAGTAATGACGGAGCCCTTTAAAATGGATCTACTCTGCAGCATAGTTCTGTAAGTAGCATAGTATGACCGGGGGTCTGAGACTGAGCGGCTCTGAGCGGGACCAAAGGTTAAAGGGCAAACAAGGAGACTGCACGGGTGAAATGAAAGGTCGGCCGTTTGTGTGTCATGCTCCGCGGCAGCATGTATCTCACACAAACCAGGAGAAACCTGGAGCGGTGGTGATGTGAGGGGCCATCTCCGGCCCCCTGAACACATGCACGTGGTCCTGGTACACTGTGCTTGTTTTAAGCTGCCTACTCCTCATCCGTCACCTTCCCGTCGTCTGCGGTCGCACGTCAAAAACAAGCACGTGAGATGGAACGGTGCTAAGAGTGAAGTGGGCTTTGATTGGACAAGTGGTAACAGCAGAGGGAGACGGGGGGGGGGTTCCGTTGTGTCTTCACTCAGGCTGGGGGCTCCGGTCCAACAGGCAGAATGACCGTCCGGTTCAAAAATAATAATAATCATAATAATAATCATAATAATAAGGTGGAAGTTGTTAGGATTTCATGAATGAATAAGCTTTAAATAAAAAAGTGAATGAAAAGAATGGCTACGCCGATATTGAGTAAAATAACCATAACCACCAGAATTGAGTTGGAGCCCTGGAAGACAAGAGAAAAAATAATGGTTAGTAGAAGAACAGACACAAATACCCGCTGTTTGACGGCAACATAGGCACAAGTTATTAAAATTATAAATCAACCAAGAATTGTAAGAAAAAAAAATCACACACAATTTTTAAAATAATAATAAAATGATTATAATTGTATTATATTGGAATTGATTGTTATTAATTATTATTGTTATTATTTTGTTATAATAATAATAATTATTATTATTATGTACTATTGGCTGTCAACACTGATGACTGGGACGAGGCAGTGTTACCCACAGGCTTCATTAGAAAGTCGTAAGATAGAGATGAGAACTGGAAGACGAAGTGAAAGTATTCTGAGGCTAGTCACGAAGCTAACTCGACAAAAGTCCATTTAGGACTGGCTTTGAGACACTGATGAGGCCGAAACGCCTCGCATTAACCAACACCTCAACCCTTCACAGACACGTCTCCAAAGACTAGAAACACAGGTCCCCCCACTGGTCCACCTGTTACCGTACCTACAGTACAATGACAAAACGGAACATGAAAAACTCACTGAGTTTGATTTGAGGGTGAGATTCTCTCCTTCCTGCTCCAGAGTGATTGGTTGAGATTTCAGGGGTGGGGAGAGGGTGAGGTCTCTGTGCAGTGGCCACTTCTCCATCTCTGCTCCCACGTTCAGGTTGTCCAGCATCTGTACAGAGTCCACGGATCCTTCTCTGACCGGCCGTAGTCCCCGTGATCGTAGCCTGTTGTTTTTGGGGGCCGGCGACCCCTGGTCCAGGCCCTGTGACAACTGAGAGTCCGGACACTGAAGCCTCATGTCCACCGTGTAGTCGTTCGTCCTCTCCTCGTCCTGCTCTGTGAGGCGTGAGTGGGCGGGGCTCCACCTGAGGGTGCTGTCACCAGTCCAGCCCACGGTGACGCCATCGAGCCTTTGGTCGATTACAGCATGCTTGGTTAGCTTGTGGTTGGGCGGGTTGTGCTGCTTTGGATGGTGGTTGGAGTAGACATGCTTTCGTGGGCTGTATGTGGAAGAGACGTGGTCCTTTGCATTGTGATTGGAGTAGATATAATCTTGGGAGTTGTGATTGGTGGAACCATGCTCAGACGTCTTGTGATTGGACATATTATGTTCCAAGGCCTTGTGATTGGATAAAATGTGCACCTGCGGCTTGTAGTTGGAAGAAGTGTGATCGCAGGGCTTGTGATTGTTGGAGGAATGATCCCATGTTTTGTGATTGGAAGAGGAGTACTCCCTTGACTTGTGATTGGAAGAGGCATGCTTAGAGGGCTTTTGGTTGGACGAGGAGTGCTCCCTCACCCGGTAGGAGGAAACGTGCTCCTTGGACTTGTGATTGGAGTAGGATTTGTCTGGTGGTTTGTGGTTGGGGAGGGGCACGTGCTCGTGCCCGTTGACTTGCCCCTCCTGCTCCTCCAGGAGGGACGGCGTGGTGGAACGGCTGCTGCCCGCCTGCTCCGGATACATTTCATCTTTCCAGCTGTTAGCCGCTCCTTTCTGCAGGTCCACGCCGCGCCCCTCCACCAGCACCTGGATCTCAGCCCCACCTTGGTCATCCACTGCACTCTGACGCATGAAGCAGGCATTTCTGGGGCGGTGGGCGTGTTTTGGCGGACTGTGGGGAGGCGACGTGGGCACGCTCAGCACAGGGCTAAGATCTGGTGTTATTACAGGTGGCGTAGTGTCAGGCGTGCATAGCTCCGGACTGTCTGTTCCCGTGGAAATAACCTCGTGGTCTTTGTCCTTGGTCCCCTTCTGCTGAGGCCTCTGACACTCCAGTCCTGTGAAAACAGTAGGAGGACGACACCAGTGAAAGGACTTGGCTCCAGGAACCAACTGTGTGTGTGTAGGTGTGTGTGTGTGTTTGTTACTGGTTCTAAGGATCTCAATCGCATTGTCCCCATTAAAAATAACTAAAAATCAATTAATTTGTTCCAGCCCCCCAGAAATATTCTATTAATAATTAAATAACCCCCATCTAAACATCCAAACATAGATATAAACAAATATATTGATAATATGAAATATTAATAATTTAGAAAAAAATGTATATTATTGTTATAAAAATGGGTATAATAACTCCACGAGGGACAGAGAACACGACAGGGCGACAGGGTCGAGAAATCTTGCTGACTCGTAACTTGGAAAACCCGTTTCATGAAGCCCCACTGTACTTTTCTTCAAAAAATTATTTTGTGGAGCCATTTTGCAACCCCTCCCCCACTTGAGTGAGGGACTGTTTTGTCAGTTTGCAGTTAGAATTAGGATTAGGATTATTCACATAAATTGTGGACACAACATTTAGTTTCCATAATGTGAGTCCACGTAGAACGTCCTGGTTCCTACCTACACTGGTGGGCCACAGCCTGAGATCTCACTGCAAAGTCCACTCACCCCTGGGTTAACACCTGTAGGACGTTCATGCTCAGACAGGACAGACTACGACCTGCAGCGCCACCTGCTGTGAACTCACCATTGCCGTAGATGTGAAACGAGGGGGAGAGCTCTTTGGCAGCGATGCGAGCGAGTCGACACTCCTCCATGGCCTTCTGTGCCACTCCCTCAGCTGCCTCGGCCTTCCCCCGGGCGTGGCTCATCCTCAACACACAAGACACAGAGAGACAAGTCAGGTGTGTGTGTGTGTGTGTGTGTGATTTACAGTATTTTCAACAGATTTCACATCTGTAACTTGTCAGATGTGAAATCTGTCATGAATGAAATCACATATGAATGAAATCACATATGTCAAACCCAAGGCCCGCAGGCCATGTTTGGCCCACGTCATCAATTTTTGTGGCCCACCAGATCTTAGAGTATGGTTTAGAGCAGTTTAGAGCTGCCCAATAGTAGATCGGGATCTACCAGTTGCTCTCAAAGGGAGTGCTGGTAGGTCAAGAGCAATCACATTTTAAAAAATAATAATTAAAAATTATAAATGTAATTCTACTTTAAGATGCTAATCAATAGGGTTAAAGTAAGAATCATAGAAGTTTTCAATGTAGGTAGATCACTTTACCCTGGTCATTTAAAAAGTAGCTCCCAAGACAAAAAAGTGTGGACACCCCTGGTTTAGCGTGTTGTTGTCTTTACCACACCCTGCACCAGTGGTTGGTGGGCCAGATTAGAGAGCCCAGTGGGCCGTATCTGGCCCGTGGACCATAGTTGACCTCTCATTGGGTGGCTCTCATTGGGTGAGGTGTGTGATGACGTCAAACCACAGCCAGTGTCAACAACCCCCCCTCCCCAGTGACCCATGGTTTGTCTGAATGTTTATGAAAAGCAAGTGAGCAACAGGCTTTCAAGGCAACAACAATAATTACCAGCCAGTCGCAGAGAAGAAAAATAAAGTTTTATGATGGAAACAGTGAAAAATAGTTTCCCCTTAGAAGAAATAATTGTCACTATTTGACTGGGTGTGAAAACAAATGCCAAAGAAATACTGTGACATTAAATACTGCAGTCCCTCCAAGATGCACGGTAGAAACCAAACTCCAGGAAGCAAAACAAATGATTGTTTTTCATGTCATTAATTCTAAAAAACAGGTGAAAACACACACAGCCACCGGCTGCGATGAGTTTGTCTGTTGCAAAAATATACAGTGACATGTTTGGTATTCTTTTGTCAGGATTATTGATTATCGAGTTTGTCTGTTGCAAAAATATACAGTAGATGAATGACATGTTTGGTATTCTTTTGTCGGGGGGGGGGCAAAAAATAAATGAGAAACGCTGCTTTAACCCATTACCTTAGTGAGAAGGCGCCACCAGGCCACCACCTCCCCGGAAATCAAGTGTTTGAACAATATCGGCAAAAAGTTAATATCGGACATCCCTAAAATAATTCCTTGACCAACAAGGAATGTAGACAAACACGACGTCCAGACGCTGTGTGACGTTTGGAGGTGGACATGTGATACAGTCCGTGTCCAAAGGTCGTCAACCCCCGACTTTGTCAATAACATTTTCACATGGGTTTGTCCCAGGCTGGACAGACAAAAGGAGGCGTCTTACCTTGACATGGCGATCTGTGCCTTCTGCTTGGCGATGTCCGCAGCCTTCTCCGCGGCCTCCACAGCGCGGTCCACCTTCTCCCTGATCTTACTGGCCCTCAGTGGAATCAGGTTCTTGCGTTTCCCGCTCACTAGCACGTTCTGCTTATACTTTCCTTCTTCCTTGGTGCCGTCAGGGAAGGTGGTGCAGCCGTAACCGTGTCTCTTGTTCCCCGCCCACTCGCCTGTGTAATGAAGGCCGTCCGAGCGCCGACTGATGCCCCAGCCAGCCCTGTGGTCGCTCCTCCATTCCCCCGCATACATTTCAGTGACAGTTGCGTCCACGGGGGCGCCCTGCTCAGTCTCACTGGCGTTGGAGTGGATGTCGGAAGCGGCCGAGCTGACGGTGCTCATGCCGGCCTCGCTGCAGAAGGAGCTCTGCTTGCTGAGCTGACTGGCCAGAGAGCTTTTAGACTCTGAGCGCCGCAGCTTTAGACCACTGAGGATGGACTGGCGGAAACGGCCTTTCCTCTTCCTCTGGCGTTCGGCTTCACTTGGAGCTGTCAGAGCAAAGCCGCCTCGACCCACGGGACTGCCGGCCAGCCCGGCCACCACCCCGTCTGTTGGGGTGGTGGCATTTGTATCCTCCAGAGCAGCCGGAGGGCCGTGGCTGTGCTCAGAACGTAGGGAGTTTATTGAGGTTCTCAGAGGAAAGAGAATGACCGCCGCCATGCCGTACGGCACACTCTGCCGTACGCCATAGCCATGACGCATCCCGCCCAGCCACTGACCCTGGTAGGTTCCTGGAGGAAACATGGACAGAACCACAGTGTTACACAGTGAAGGTGTTTAAATGAAACACACAACGACTGAAGCAAACCAAAGTTTACAGTAAATCAATAGATTCTGTGTTCAACTAAACAGGCACAGGTTTCACAGGGAGTAAGACAATTTGTGAATTAAATTCTCCGAATTGGCTCAGTGTGGCTGCAAAACTTTTTATGTTGTTGAGAACAATCTTCTGGTTCTCCGGTTCCGTCTCATTTGCTTAGAATTAGAGCTGTCACAATTATCGTTGTCATTTACACACACTAGGCCTGTGTATTGGCAAGATTCTGGTGATATGATACGTATCATGATACATGGGGGAACAATACGATATATTACAGATGAAGTTCTGAGCCAGGAGAGTTTTGGATCATGTTTAGTCTCTAGTTAAATTTCTTGGTTTTTAGTCCAAGTCACAAAAAAGTTTGAGTGCCAGTTTAATCTCCAAGAGTCCGTCTTTAGACAAAGAAATACATTTGGATTCATGACTGGAGTACTGCAGTACTTCCCCTGGTCCTCCATGAAAACATGGTGAACCAGAGTCAGGTGGTCACCTGTCGGGTGAGTGTGTGAGTGACTCGTCAAGGAGTCGTTTTTCTTTGTATTTATAACTAAAATGTTTTTACCCAGAAATAAATCTTACGAACTTCTTTGGTTATTATTCGGCTCTTAAGAGATCTGGAGCTGTCCGTGGTGCTGAAGAAAAGCTTCACGTTTGGTGTGTGTGTTTGTAAGACAACAGCATATTTATTGGGTTGTGGAAAATGTGTCAGCTCGTGCGTGCTAAATTCATCTGTTGGTGGTCTTCCACGTGAGCAGAAGAGCGGAGCGGAGCTGTCGCGTGACGCAGTCGTTTTTAATGTTTTCCTGCCTCGCTTTTTCTTCTTCTACCTTGGTACAGCACACACACACGCACGCACACACACACACACACACACACACCCTGCATTCACTCCAGCTGCGTCACTTATTGACCTCACTTTCCGTCTTCATCATTCGGGTCCTGTGCTGTGCAGCTTGCGTCCGTGATCAAACGTCCTAGATAACAAATCCCTGAAGTCATTAAGGGAATAAGAACTGGAGAGTGACAGCGGCAGGGAGCAGCGGGGGCCTCTGGTGACACGCTGACCTGCCGCCTCCTCTTACTACTGAGACTTTTAAGAACAGCGGGGTGATGAGCAGAGGTGGCGGTCGTGAGGGGACGGCTTTTTTTAACCTGTGAGTTACCAAACAGGAAGTTGTTATTTTCTGACTCCAGATCCTGATTTCTGTTGTTGCGTGGTGATGTAGCGCCACCATCGACAACAACCGTCCACCCAATGGCAAGACTCCAGTCTGTGACCCCCCCTTCCCCCTCAGCCCCAACAGGACCACTTGAGGAAATTCACTTGTTGTGTTTTGGGATACAAACATAAATCGTCATGTGATGCTAACGACGGACTGTTGAGTGTTAGCCTTACCTCCATCGGAGTAGGTTTCGGTGCCGTAGCCATCCTGCAGCCCGTTGCTCCACGTCCCCTCGTACCGGGCTCCACTGGCTGTGCTCTCCAGCTGCCCGTAACGGCCTTTAAAACCCTGCGTCCACTCTCCTCTGTACTCCCAGCGGCCCTTGCTCTCCACGCCGATGCCATGGCGCTTACCTTGCGCCCAGGTACCCTGATAGCTGTTCCCGCTGGGCCACGTGTACACGCCCAGGACTTCGAAGCCGTGGCTCCATGCCCCGGCATACTCGCCCTGACCCTGGGGCCCTGTGCAAACACCCCGGCCGTGGGCCTTACCCTGTTCCCACCCCCCGCAGTACGACCCCCCATCATCAAAGTCAAACCTGCCTCCAGTGGACATGCATGAAACAGGTTTAGGCAAATCCTTAGAATGTTCAGAAAGAGAAAAAAACAAGAGCCTGGTTTGAGTCCGAGGGAGGAAGGAGGGAGGAGGCCTGGTCTGAATCAGGCAGCATGGAGGAGCAGGGCCTCCACTCCCCCTCTGCTGCTAGCTCAGGATGTAAAACACTGGCTCCTCACTGTGGAAACAAAGAGCATCACCTTGTGATGGAGAAGCAATCATAGCCTCAGCGGTGGCTCTGGAGCCGATAACGCAGCAGCCGTACACACGGCTCCTCGCGGGCATTCTGGCTCGGTGGGCTCCCCATCCTTCCCCCACCTTCCTCCCTCACAGCCACGGTGCTCGGCAGCCCGCTGTCTCCACTGTGCAGCGGGGCGCTCCGAGGGAGCGAGGCCTAGGTTGGTTCCTGTAGTCCCAGAGGCCCTCAGAGTGGCAGCGACAGCAGCATCCCAGATTAGCTCAGTCAGACATTACAGTATCTCCACATCCCTGCTGCAACATCAGCTCACAGAGGGAAACAGTAAAGAGGGGGCGCCGACACCAATATCTCCGCCACCGCTGCTGCACCCAGGATGCTGTTAGGAAAAAACCCACATCAGGAGAGCACAGCAGCATGGCCTGGAATCAGGCTGGAGCTTAAAGACACACAGACACACAAACACTTGCTCACAAACCTTGGTAGACGTCGGTCAGTGGAAGTCTCTCTCTCTCTCCTCACTGCGACCTGCAGACAAACCGAGATGGAAAATGAAATACTCCTCTTCCTTTTTCCCTGCGACGGCCTCAGTCTTAATTGTTGTTGTATCCTGATTTCACCCAGTCATCAGCCCTCTCCTGTTTTCTGCCTCCCTCTTTCTATCGCTCTCCTTCTCCCACTCTCTCTCTCTCTCCCTCTCTAAAATCAGCTCATTACAGGACTGTTCCACCCCAGCCAATACCCCTCCCCCACACACACACACAGCCACACTCCTTCTCTCTTAAAGAGATAGAGACAGAGGGATGCTGCATGCACAGTGCTCTCTCTCTCTCTCTCTCTCTCTCTCTCCAGGGATTTCATCCTGCTCTTCCTCATTATCCAGACTGGTTTTGGCTCCTCTTCGACTCAGCAGTCCCTTCTTCTGATAACTTCAGGTTTCTGAGGTTATCGATCCACTGACAACATTTTTCTCTCCCTAACACTTTTTTTAGCTGTTTCTCTTGTTAAAAAAAAATCTAAGCAAAGTTTGTCTCTGTGTAACGCTCAGCAGCAGAGGGCGCTGCATCATTATCTCCCAGTGTTGTCACCTGACTGGTATCATTGGATCAATCAATAACTGAAGGCAGTATCGGAAATCTTCGTACGACTGAACGCACCATAAAATGGAATCGGAAATTAGGTGTTTGTCATATCGTCAAAAAGTTAATATTGGACATCCCTACTAAATATATATATATATACTGTATATATTTATACATATGTATGTGTATATATATTTACATATATGCCAATGGAATGCTGACAAAATATAGTATATTTATATAAATATTTAAGTGGCAGGACAAAGGAAGAGGCTGTGACAACAACTAAACAAGCTAAGTCACATGATAGATTTGTTAGTAATTAAAACAGTGTTAATAATAATAGCGTTCTAGCCACACAGTTAATTTACATCGTGCTGTAAGATTTAAAAGAAACATTTTTAAAAATATGTTGAGTACATAAATATTTGTCACTGAACTATCACCACCCAAAACAGTGGAAGAAACTCATCCTGAGGCGATGAAAACAGTAATGTTTATTTGTAAAAGGTGTATTTTACAGGTAATCCATGACAAAAGAAATATATCCGGTAGAAAGAAAAAACACAGTCAAATCAAAAGCTTTGACACAGGTGGGGTGGGGGGGATTCGCTCTCTGAGGAGGAGGGGGCGGCTTAGGTGAGGATGTCATGTGCCTGCTGCTCCACCAGCATCGCCATGTTCTTCACATCTCCGCACCAGGAGTCCAGCCGCTCCTTCATACTTTTGATCTGGGAGCAGAGGCGACAGGAACGTTGGACTGGGTCCACACTGGTGGTTTGAAACATTTACTCACCGACACGGTGGTGACACCCACCTGCTGCAGATCCAGGACTCGGGGTTGTACCCAGGTCATCTGCACCTTCTGATCCACCTCGTCGATGTTGCCTTTGACCAGACCCACGGACAGAGCTTTCATCACCAGCAGCTCCACCTGCAGGACAACACCAGACACTGTTTTTTCCCCATCCAAATCCATCCTCGATCACTGATGGAAAACATTTGACATTCACGAACACTGACCTCGTTCACGGGGACCTTGGTGCTCTGAGCGATCTCTGTGAAGGTCAACTGTCTGTGGTTGGAAGGACGAGTGAAAGTCATCTGTGGGAGAAAGGACAAGTTTGAGCCTCTGCAGCTGAGTGACCGTTCTGACATACACAGAATTCCTAACACTGGTAATAAGAAAAATGCTAACAATTTTATTAAAATCTTGAAACCGTGTCACCATGCAAAATGTTTCATGTTTTCTGTGTGTGTGTGTGTGTACTCTCACCTCCATGACACACAGCAGCTGGATTTTCTGCATCAGTTTCGCCTCATGGGCTGCGAGGTCCGGCTGTAGTCGGGAGAGAAGAAAACATGCGTTGGTGCTCAGTAACGTAGTGTATGTCATTCTGGCAGGTATGTTGAACGAACAGGACACTTTGGTTTACCTGTTGGCCCCAGGCAGACTTGAAGCCCTGGAATTTCTCTACGTTGCCTCCATTGAAGGCATATAGTGTATCAATGAGCCACTGCTTGTCTGTGTTCCTCAGAGTTTCCAGCACAGGATGCATCAGCTGCATGGTGGGAAAAAAAAAGAAGAACAGCGACAATTATTATTTTTGGCGGCGTGGGGGACACACCTGTTGACAAGCGTCAGAGTGAAAACCACACCAGCTCTCCAAAGTTGTAAACTCCTTCTCCTAAGAGTCCGGCCAGTCCGAGCGTGAACGCCCTCTCCTGTTTCTCCGTCTCTGCAGAGTGGACAACGATTAGACCAGCAGGTTGCTGACACCACATGTCGCGGACAATGAGGGAAAAACCCTGTTTGTCTCACCTGGGAGGTCTCTGATGTCCACACAGCCCAGGTAGCGCAGAGCGTCTTTGTAGTATGAGGCGTGGTTCCCAATGATGCGGTAATACTTGCTGCTGAGGTCGTAAAACCGACCGTGTACGGATGTCACACCCGGCAAATTATTCAACATTTCCTCGACCTCCTCGATCAGTTTCTGAAAGAACAGACGACGTTTCTAAATCGTAAAATGTTACAGTGAGGCTGACAGCAGAGTATCATCGCAGACTGCCTAAGGTGCCCGCAGGGTGTGCTCCAAAAAAATAATAGTATTTCAATTCGAGGAACTTCTGTCCTTTAGGGGGGTGCATGGCAAAAAGAAGCTCTTCATATTACTGAGTGTCCTTGAAGTAGCTAACAGTTTCTAAGGTTGGTGACCCGTGTTAAACTGAATTAACCAGTTATGAATCTGACAAAAATACACCTGGAAATAATGAATGGGAATTTTCACACCACATCTGAGTGAGATGAGATGCAGCGTTGCTGTTTGTTCTGGGCTGACAGGTTCATGATTTCACAGCAGCAGCAGGCTGTGAACAAAGAGCAGCTCTGACCTTTGTGGCAGGAAGGTCGTTGATTTCCAGCTTCAGGCTGCCGATGGACGTCTTGCAGAGGATGACGGCTTCGTCGCTGCTTTTCACCTGCATCGCATGTGTTCACACATTTAATTAGGTTTGAAAGAAAAAAAATATATCGGTAATTAATCTGATCTCATTGTCATACCTTTTCCTTGGTTTTCTCGAGAAAAGTGATGGCATCCTTTGGCTCTGAGAACAGAAAAATACCTTGTGTTTGTAGGTCTGTGCACACAGCAGGATGTGGGATAATTTGCATTTTTTAATCAAATCAAAAATACTGTTGTTCAAATTTTCTCTGAGCAGTCAACTTGTCAACTCCTGTGATGCGAAGGTGAAATAATACATTTTTCTCTTTTATTTATTTATTCATTTGCTGAACTTTTCTTTACCTAAAACAATGAAGTTGTTTAAACACCTTTACAAAAAATATTTTGTTTAACTTTGCTACTGGTGGGTGACTTAATGAGAGAAAAAAAAACAGTGGTCACAGTGCCATTACCTGACATCTGCCTAGCAACATACAGGATAATCTCCACCAGGGACAGTGGGTTGATTCTGTGGGAGCAGTGTGGAACATGAAATTAGCACCACATCAATTACTGTAATTATATCATTTAATCTTGTGAATCATAACATTATACATCACCGGTGTTCGAAGTCATTGATGAAATTTTCATAGAGCTACGGGAAAGAAAGAAAAAACATTAAGGCGACAAACGTTCATTTTTGTGTTTTGCTCTGTCCCAATAATAGTAACCTGAAGTTGAGATGGAACAGCATTGTCTTTACTATGGTGACACTTTAACTAGCTACATTATTAAAAAAACAAAAAACAAACTCAATAACGCTGTGCCTATAGTATCCGTTTATCGTAATATATCGTATCAATGCCCGTGTCGCGATAATTATCGTACTGCCAGATTCCGTACAGTACACACCCCAAGTAATTACTTACTTAGATTTAGACTAATGTTATAAAGTAATATTTTTTACCAAAACCAACTATTTACATACAAAAAAGGTCACATGTAAATTCTAAATAATTCTGTTTATTTTCAGAATCTGCATTCTTTATTGTAATTGTAACAACGGAACATACAAACACACAACATTCTTAGGTGCAATTTTTACAGTGCAAACAGTCATTCATGAAAAGAAAACCCCAAACATAGGCGCATAATGTCTTTCAAATTGGTTTATTATCCTCCATCAGTAGCAGCGTAACTCTGACTATGTGGCCTTTACCTGTATGAGTCCATCTCCTGTTTTGAAGCAGGGGTCTTTGAC